AAAGGATGGAAAATGCCAAATTCTCAGGAAAGGGAGTGACTGTAAATCCAGGATGACTGAAAAACAGAGAAGCAATAGAACTTTCATTTACCATGAAAATCCAGTGGGAGAAACACTGACAACCTGGCTTTGCCCCACCCTGGTTTATATTTGTCAGATTCTTGAGAAAAAGAAGCTTGGAGTTTGAAATAATTTAGGAAGCATTTAGTTCAGTGGTTTTTAAAGACGGTCTGAATCAGTAGAAAGCTTATTAATACACATGTCTAGGCCCTGCTCCAGGTCTGTAGAATTCAAATCTCTGGCATTGCAGCTGAAGTACCTTCATTTCTAATACATCTTCTGGGTAAGTCTAACATACAGGTAGGTTTGGAAACTACTAACCTAGTTGAACTTTCTACGCATTGTAGGATTCCCTACTACATCATTGCTACTCAAAGTGTGGTCCAAGGACATGCAACACTTAAATCTTTGGGAGCTGTTTAGAAATACAGAATCCCAGGTCCTACCCAGACCTACCGAATCAGAATCTGCCTTTTCACAAGATTCTCAGGTAATACTTATTCACACTGAAGCTAGAGAAGCTTCACTCTTCCTCATCCTTGATGGACAGTCAGCATATCACTGCTCAAAACTCCTGGACTGGGGAGCTCATTACTTCACATGGCAACCTGCTTTTTGGCTTCCAATTATTAGGCAACTCTTCCTTATAGTGAAGTCACTTACCCATCACGTATATTTTCTATAAATATGCACACACTCTGAAAAGCTGACCAAGACAGACATAATCACATTATCACATATAAGCTATTTCTTTATTACAGTTCACAGGCAGTGAGAACCTCTCTGAACACAAGGATGATTTTCTTCTTTCTGTTTTCACACAGGCCAGTGTGAGGTTAAGCATCTCTCTTTCTTGTAGAATCTTACTGAGGGCTATAAAAAGTTGCTAACACAATCCAATTTCCTAAATTTCCCCCTACCATCTTCCTAATGGAACAGCTTGCATGGCATATGGACCCTTTTCCAGGCTACATTAGTAATTCCTTGCTCACTAAAGTGTGGTCCAAGGATCAACAGCATTAGCATCCCTGGGGAGTTTGTTAGAAATGTAGATTCTCAGTTCCCACCCTAGACCCCCTGAATTACAATATTCATTTAAGCGAGATCTCTATGTGATTCTTTTTGCCTATTAAACTTCAAGAGGCAGGTAAACCATGTATTTCACAATCACCTAAAGAGGATTCTAACTTTCTAGCCCAAGATCAAGTCCTATCTGTTCAGTTCAGCTAATTCCATCAAGTTTAAGGTCTGTTAATTGCAACATTCCTTCTTACTGGCACCAGAGTCTGCTTTACTTAGCATGAATTTCCTGGGTCCAAGTCACCAAAAACCCAACTCAAACTGGCCCAACTAACAGGAATTTTCAAGTTGGATATTGGATGCACAAGTGGTCATTACACTATTTGTTCAATATTTTGTTGTAATTTAAAAAATTGTAGTAAAATACACATCTGAATCTGATCACATGCCTGTTCCTTAACTGGCAAAGAGATTTTAAGTTTTGTTATATTATTACCTTAGAAAGGTTACTCTAGTTTCAGTATGGAGAAGAGTTGAATGGAGACAAGGCTGGAGACAGAGATGTCAGGTGGGAACCTGTGCAATCATCTAGGTGAGAACTAATAGTAACCTGGGACAAAGTAGTAGCTGGTGGTCCTGGAGAGGGAAGGCCAGGAAAAGATTCCAGAGACATTGTGTGGTAGGTTAACCTGACTGAGATTTTAAGTCCTTTTTCTTCTGTTAAAGGAATAAAAATACTTTCCTTCCACCCTCTCTTAAGAGATCAATTAAAGTTTTGTGTCCTGGAGGGTTGAATTTTCCTTGCTTCCTGGGAAATTAATAAGTCTTTGTTTTAATAAACAAAACAAAGAGTAACCCCCCACTCCCTACCCCAGAGCCACCATCACCACTACTACCAACAGCAGCAAAAGCACAACTGATAACCTGAGCTCACCAAGGTGACAGAGGTCCACTGAGGTACTGGGGAGAGGAGGGGAGGTAGAGAGGAGGCTGGATTCCTGCAGCCTGAGGGGACAGACGGATTATTAGTTAGCCCAGAGATGCAGGGCCAAGGATCAGGGAACTTCAGCTTCCATGCGGGACTCCCAGATGGGGCAGGACCTCTGATGGAGTAGCACGTGGGTAGGGACTCATCCCTAAGGTTGTAGCCTGGGGAGACCAAGTTCGTGTTGAGGAAGATGGGTATGATGAGCAGAGGACAGCTCAGTCCACTGTGACCAGCATGGACCGGAGGCCTCTTTCTAGGGCACAGAGACTCTACTCTGAGTACAGGGAGTGGGAAGGGTCACCAGTAATGACCACCGCTGGATACCTCATCAGCTTTCTGGGTGGAAGCTTGGAGCCAGATTTAATTTAACAATATAGAGTATTATAATTGCTCATATACAATTCTAATTCAGTTAAGAATAAATACAAAATTTACCTATGCCCCACCACCCAGATTTGCATTGGCTATTTCCTTGGCCTGGAATGCTCTTTCTTCAGATGTCCACGTGGCTTTCCCCATCACCATCTTCAGGCATTTGCTTAAATATCAGTCTCATTGTTTTCCTGAATGCCCTTAAAATTTTTTTCAAATTCTTTTCCTCCCACAATTCTTATCATCCTTCCTTGCTTTTTCTTCACAGAACTGACTACCATATTTTGTACCATGTTTACTTTTTTACTTTCTTACTGTCTATCTACCTACCCTGACCATAATGTAAATTCCATGACATCAGAGACTGTAAAACCCCATGGCTCAACAGTGTCCCGCACATAGAAGACCAGCAATAAATATTTGTTGAATGAATGAATGAAGTGAATTAATGAATTGTGACGCAAACTCTTAACTACCACATCTTAGGGGTTCGGACAGGATTGCTGAGACTCCTTATTTGATATACTGTAAGAATAATATTGATTCCATGAGCCTATGGGTTTGAGTCAGAACATTATGAATATAAGTCCAGGCACTATGCTTCGTCGTCATCACAAGGTGAGAAGCTCAGTTAATGTCTTGGTTTATAAATATGTGAAGTGGAGGCAATAAAATCTACTCTTCATGATGGTTTGTGTGAGTGTTTTCTAAACCAAAAGATTTCTTCAAATGATGGTATTTTAGGGAGAGCACAGGAAAAGTCAGCTCTGAAAGTTGGGGATGAGGGTGCTAGGGTTGCTGGTGATGGTACAAGGAATTTTTCCCTTTCTGCTATGCAGTCTAAACTTGGACTTTTAACAAGATGTCAGTATGTAAGTGTAGTGGGGATCAGGCCATTCTTGTCATCAGGAATGATACCTTCCAGAATCTGATAAAAGCCATGAACACATTCCAGAAAAGCTGCTCCACCACCCTCCGCCCAATTCTAAGGAAAGAGTTCATAGACCTCTAGAGCTCCAGTCATGGACTCCAGTTTTAACAATGTTGATATATAGATATCAGGAAACAAAGAGCAAACAGAAAAATCTAGTTTACCTGTATAAAAGTAATTCAATTCTGGTTACTTATACAAATGACTTTTGTTTCCATACCATGTGGTATGGCACTTATTTTGATTTGGTTATGTAACTGAACTGTTGATGCAGGATCCACCTTTGTCATTTGTTGTTCATATGGCACAGTGTTACCTATTCATAACTTTAAAAGGAAAACTTAGAGACTGTTTCTTAAAATCTAATATTCTGCCTCCATGGTTTCATCTGCTGAATTATTTCCCAAGAGGGAATTGTGTGCTCTATGTAATGAACTGGCAGGTGAGAGGCTGCAAGGCAGAGTGGAAGGTATTCAGGCTTCAAAAGACAAACCTAGGCTGGAATCCCAGCTCCTTTACCACCATTAAAGTTCACCTTTAGCAAGCCCTATAAGACCCGGCTTTCACTAACTTCATCCATTAATGAGAATGACAATACCTACTTAAGAGGTTTCTATGAGGATTAGGGATAACATAAACAAGTGTCCAGGATATATCAGATGCTAAATAAGTGGTGCTGTTGTTATGGTGAGTCCTTGGTATTACAAACAGCAGCTGTGTTGCCCAGGGTTCTCAATGTCGTATAATCAAACCGGAATTAGGTTCCTGAATTCGGGCAACAATTGCTTACTCTGCTGCTGGAGTAGCAAATGTCAAGGCTGACGTCCCCTAGGTGCCAGTGAGCCCCAGGTTATGGTGTGTCCTGCCTTTGAGAGTTCAATGAAGCATGACTTCTGAGTGTCAGTTTGTTTCCTTTTCTGTAGCTCTTTGGAGTACCTCTCTACTTGTTAGAGGGGATGCTGCCGGATTCATGAATCGCTTAACAAAGCCGATTAGATCTTCGCATTTACTTGGTTGAATTTTTTGTTTTTTAACGGTAATATTATCTTTTCCTTATGCTTAGCTTCCTTGTTTTCTCTTTCTCTGGCTCAGTGAATACCAACACAAGACCTAAGAAATCTCCTGCACTTTTTAAATTTTCTTTCAAGAATATATTTTCAGTCTAAGTGCCATCACCTTCCCGGACTTATTTGGGAAGAATGGGTGCATTCTGTGAGTCACGTCCACTTATTTCAGGACAAAGTTTCCCCGCACTCAGTGGAATACAGTGTAGCGTAGTGAAAAAAGTGGTGGTGGAGGACTCAGGCCACCTGGGTCCTCATCACCATTTCTGTCTAAAAAGGCCGAAGGCACTGCCTTAGTTTCCTTATTTGTAAAGGGCATCAAGTCCGGCCTTGGGTGCTAAAGAGCTTTGTTCTCATGCATCCTAAACGCTGATCCCGATTAACCCCAGCCAGACGGGCCCTAGACGCTGGGTCAGGGCTCGGCGGGCAATGCGCCGAGGCCCAGGTCCCGTGGGGAACCGCGGGCTGCGCGCGCAGCTCCTGCTTCACCTCCCAAACGCCGCGTCTCCGTTGCCCGGGAAACTGAGGGCGGGGTGCTTTCCGGCGCTGTCGCGGCGTGTCGCAGCTGTCATGGCGGAGACGGTGTGGAGCACTGACACCGGGGAGGCTGTGTACCGCTCCCGGGATCCCGTGCGCAATTTGCGCCTCCGGTAGTCGCCTTGCCCCAGAGCCCCGTGCTTTTACGCTCTCAGATAATTCTAGCCTGAACGTCACTTCTCGTTTGCCCAGTCCCCCCGCTTCCGCTAGCTATCCTGGTTAATGCCTCCCTGATCTCCCCGTTTCTCCCTCACCACCCAGAACCCTCTCCACTCAGCTTCCAGACCCAGCCAAGTCCATTCGAGTCCCTGCCCCTCCCAAATTCCTTGGAGCTCTGTTCCCAACTCTTTGATTCTCCCACCCGCACCCCCCGTCCCCCACTCCTCCCCTGCACTTAAAACACTTTGGTAGCCCCACCCTCTTCTTTTTGTTTTTCCCATCTTTGCTTTGTTCATCCCAGGTTGGGTGTCTTGTAACGAGTATTTTGGGTTTCTCTTTCCCAACAGAGTTCACCTGCAAAGAATCACATCAAGCAGTTTCTTCCGTTACCAGCCTGCTGCTCAGCCGGGGAAGGACCTCATAGACTTGGCCACTTTTAGGCCTCACCCAGCCTCCAGTGGGTGTATGGTGGCGATATGGCCCCTTGGAGATACGAGGAAGGGCCTGGGGTGGTAAACTCTTAAGCCAGAGTAGACCCAGGTCTGTAGTCTGAGAAAAGGCATAGAGACGTTGGGTTCTCTGCCAAAAGTCACAGGCTGGTAAACATGGTGATCCCAGGCAGGTTTTACTACTCCACCCTATTGTGTATGAAAATTTAATGTGGTTCCTGCTGTTAAGATACTGATCTGAATTGTGGTGAAATGTAGTAAAAAAATAAAGACCGTACTTCAGATATGCTGTAAACCTGCCTGGCAACCTAAATACCATTTGTGGAATTTTTTTCTAAGAAAAAATATGCTCCAAACTCTTTAAAAGTATATATATGGCTAAAAACAATTTTAAAATTGGGGTCTGCTTGAAAAATGTACATATTAACATCACCTGTGCTCTTGTAGTTTTCCTTATCTGGGAAGCCAGAAGAGTGGGGAAGAGAGGATAGTGTGTTTCTGTTAAGTCACTAGTTTCATTGCTTTTGTTATGTCTGTTCAGATAATATTCCTGGGCAAGAGTGTGGACTGGTGGGTTGTGAAGCATGTGTCTCAGCAAAAGGCATACTGAGTTAGGAGTGTATAAGTTTGAGTTCTTCAAATAATCATTTATTTGTCTTTTCTCTCCTGATACTTGGTCTCCTAAGGTTACGATGTATGATGCTAGATATATGACTTCAGGAATAATAAAGATCAAAAACACCAGGGTTCCTTTCTAGAAAATGTAGACAATTGGGATGGAAGAAGAGCTAATCAACCTATATCTAAATTTCAGCTCCTGACACTGAGTTAGATGAAATAATTCCTGGAAGGCATCACTTCCTTTTATTCAAATTAGAGTAGTGATAAAGGCTTCTTGGGTCCTGATCCTAGCTTCTAGACATATCCACAGCCTTTCTAACCTTTGTCTAGAATGAGTATTTAGTAAATCACTGAACTCTGACTTATCTTGTGGCACATATTAGAGCAGGGGCTTTGATTCTAACCAACCATGGAGCATGAACATTGGCTCAAACGTTTGACTCTGTTGTCTTTCGAGGTGGACACCACTCAGATGAAGATGAAGAGGAAGAGGTAGTGGTTGGATGGCAGGAGAAGCTCTTTAGCCAGGTGAGCCAGTGTGCCTTGTCTACTAAGTTTCCCTCCACCTGGTTCATCACAACCTGGTGGGTGGCAGTGAAAGATTCTGGATACATGCTGTCAGACCAATGTTCAGAAAAACTTTGTAGCAGTTTGTACTTGCCTTTGCTGTGTTTATAGGGGCAATAGAACATAGTGGCTGACTGCTACCCAGTTTTGTGATCCTGAGTAAGGCATTTTTTACCTCTCTAGGCAGCTGGCCATCTGTAACAGTGGAGTTAGACAAGACAGCACTCTGGTTCCTTTTAGCTCTGATGTTCGTTGGACCCCTTGCCCTCTATTAGTTTAGATAAAGGACAGTTGTCCTTGAAAACATGTCAGATTGCATCGGCTCTATAGAACTGATTTTATTAAACAGTTATAGGAACAAAAGGTTGACATATTCTCAGGAGATGTCTGCATCCTTGTGGCCTTAGTTTGAAGTAGATCTGTACCAAAACGAAGCAGCCTGTCAGAGCCCCTTGGATCATCAGTACCGTCAAGAGATCCTGAAACTGAAGGATTCGGGAGACAGAAAGAACCAACGGATTTTTACCTACACTGACTCTGACAGATACACCAATTTGGAGGAGGTATTGTTCTTCCCGAGGTTCCGTAACTTCCTTCGCTTTTCCCTGCCTAATATCCGGGCATCAGTGGGTTCTGTGTGTGCAATCAGAAGCCTGTTCAGGGGCAACAGCCAGCCTGTCTAGAACCTGGCCACCGTGCTGGAGTAGTGCAGGCCCATCTTCAGGGGTCTGGCTGCGGCTCCCATACCCCTGCTGGAGGGCCAGGGGGCTGGCCGTGTTTCTAGTGACAGGCTTGCAGACTGCAAACCAGGAGAAGCAGCCACTGGACTTAACTTCCTCCCTGCATCATAAGATAACACAGGCAGGTAGAGTCTCACCCCATCTAGATAAAATTCATCAGGGGCTTCAGCCAAACTCTGAGTATATAATTTTAAAGAGGAATTCAGCATAGCTGTGGGAAATGGCTTACGTCCTCAATTTGCCTGTGCCAACATACCCTTATGGAGTTGTTTTATATTTTCTTCAGTCACTGCATGATGTGTTCTGTCCTCTCAGTGAAACTGTAAACTCCTTGAGAGAAGAGATTGTGTTTTCTGATTTTGGTCTATGACTTTGTAGATCTCTGCAAGGAGCAGGTGTTAAATGAATTTTTGAAAGATTGGTGCTTGTCTTAGGAAAGCTGTGGGTTGATAGTATATAAAATTCGGGTTGTCTGTCTTGGAAAAGTAAATAAAATTATAGTCAGTGCTCAGTTACCCATGGGAGGATTTCCCACAGAATGTTTGCATCCCATTTGGCATCTTCCAATGACCTACTATAACGTCAACATCTACCAGGCAAACTCATCTAGCTTTTTGTTAGTATTGCTCAGATACTGCAGACTCAATTTTAATATTAGCATAAATAAACTCATATCTGAAGGATAATATGCTGCAAAAATCTGAGGGCAAGCCGAAGTGTGGTAGGAACCTTCTTTGTGTTGTTTGTACCACTGCTCCCCTCCATTAGCATGTGTAATTGTGAGGTGGCTGTCCCTGTTCGGTTCCTGGGTGCCATTTCAGAAGGAAGACTTGCCTTCATGTACTTGGTCCCGTAGGGCCCTGACTGGATGGGTTACACAGGGCTGCTCTTTTTTCCCAGCACTGTCAGAAAATGACCACCGCAGCCAGTGAGGTGCCATCATTCTTGGTCGAGAGAATGGCAAATGTCAGGCGGCGACGGCAGGACAGGAGAGGGACGTAAGTGCAAATTGATATGGAGGCTGGGGGTGGGGGAACTTCGTGCCCCTTCCGTGCTCATGTTCTTGGTGTCTCCACAGACTTGAGCTTCCCATTCTGTAATAGGCCTCCACCTGGGTGTGCGCCCCTGTGTCCCTCCTTCAGGCTCTTCAGGGGATGCCAGGGAAGTGACCCTTCCTGTTGTGGCTCCCAGGGAGGGCAGCATCCTCAAGTCACGAATTGTCACCTGGAAACCCTCAGAAGAATTTGTCAGAAACAATCATGTCATCAATACCCCTCTTCAGACAATGTACATCATGGCCGACCTGGGGCCATATGGAAAGTGAGTGAAGCTTCTCACAGCCCAGCCCAGATCCTTATCCTCTTCTCCTCTCACTAACTGTTACCTACCTGTTGGAGTCATCCCAGGGTATACGCAAAGGGAGGACTTTTTCTTTTTTATATTTGGAAGAAAGTATTTTTACTTTTTTAATTCTCATAATAGCCTCTCTCCTCTCCCGTGACATGGGCTGACTTCCTCTTTCTCTCTCCCTGGAGGTGGGACCAGCGATTCTGAACCTTGCTGTTGATGTCCTGGTTTCTAGGCTCGGCTATAAGAAGTATGAACATGTCCTCTGTACTCTGAAGGTGGACAGCAACGGTGTGATCACCGTGAAGCCTGACTTCACTGGCCTCAAAGGACCCTACAGGTGAGGAGAGGCAGGAGGAGGTGTGGAGCCCAGCATTCCTTCTCTTGGCTTCATTTCTTACCCCCTAGTTGAGGAGATTCTGACGAAGCCCTTCATCTGTTCTAACTTTTAAATTCTAAGGCCCTGGTTCATATCCTATTTCATCACAGGCGCTTAGGAGCCTGCTCTCAGAAAATGTGCAGCTATATCAGTTTGAAGCGACAATTTCAGCAGTGTAGTTCAGTGAACAAATCCTTGGCGCTGCCGCATGTGGGGACTGACCAGAACAGGATGGATGCGCTCAGCCAGATCTCCTCCTCTGGGCTGCCTCTCATCTCTGGGCCTTAGAATAATGTCTTAGCAAATTAGAAATTATCTAGACCCCCCATGTCCATTTTTCAGATGAGTGTATGGGTGCCAGTAACATTGTGCTTTACAGCTTCACGGTGACTCTGAGGCAGAAGTAGGCCCCAAACCTACACCAAGTCCAGTTGGGTGCCGTTCCTGCTGTACCATTTTGTTTCCCACTGCCGGTCGTTCTGGTTGTTTGTTATATACTTCAAGTGAGGTGTATGGCTGGTGACGGCCCATCCCTGGGCTGGATCTGGAGGGCCCATCTCTCATTGCCTTTTTTTGTCTTTGACCTTACAGAATTGAGACTGAGGGGGAGAAGCAGGAGCTGTGGAAGTACACAGTCGACAACGTGTCCTCCCTTGCGCAGCCGGAAGAGGAGGAGCGGGAACAGCGTGTGTTCAAGGATGTAAGAGCTGGTTCCTCCCACGTACCGAAGGGCTGAGCCTTGGTGCTGGGAGCCGAGAGCCTGTCGGAGGCTGACATCAGCAGTGCCAGGCCTTGTGCTTCATGGCCCTGTCCTGACTTAGGAAGCATTGCTGACATACCAGACACAAGTTTTAAATCTTATTATTAACATAATAATAATAATAATAGTAATAATAGTAATAACAATGACCATTTATTTGAGCATTTACATTGCTCTGTGTTAGACCCTTCCCATACTTTATTTCATTTAGACCTTCAAAAACCCTTTGACATGAATACTTTTATTATGAATATTTTTAAATGAGGCAACTGAGCTTGAGAAGCTAAGCAGTCTGCCCAAGGTCACATAGCTTCTAAGTGTGAGAGCCAGGATTTGGTCCCAGACCAGCGGACTCCCGAGCCTCTCTGCTTCACTTTAAGTGTCAGTGGCTGGGATGCTCAGGCCTCCAGGTGTCTTCAGCATTTCCCATTACTGCTTCAGTTCTCCCTTCCATTCAGATCTGACCCCTGGTCTGGCTGGGGTCACAGCTTAAGTTTCGGTTTGGTTTGTTTCCACAGCTTTATGGTCGGCACAAGGAGTATCTCAGCAGCCTTGTGGGCACTGACTTTGAGATGGTGAGTAGCGTGGCTTCCTGCAGCCCTGTGAGCTGGGTTTAGCCAGCACCTTCTGACTGTGGCTGAATAATAGCGTCTCTCTTAAAGAGCCCAAGACACACTTGTCAGTGTAAACAAGAGGTCAGAGAATAGATGTAGAGTGTAGTCCTTGTTAAGTGTTTTAAACATTGCATATTGGTTAGAACTGTTAATGTATAGAAAAAGGTCTGAAGAGCATACACATAGCTGGGGTGGCTTTCCCTGGAGAAGGAATGGGATTGGGACGTAGATGAGTGTTTACTGGGTAGAGAGCAGTATGTTAGGGGTCTTTACCATTTATTTCCTAAATTTAGGTAGTTTTAAATTTTTATCAATATTCATGTATTATTTTATAATTAAGGTAATTCATTAAAAAAATAAATAGAAAGATGAAAACTGTCTTCCTCACTCTCCATGTGGGTATCATTCCTAAGTGCCCCATGGAGGGGGAAGGGGCAGTGTTTCTGTTTGTCAAATAGTTTAGCTCTTAAAAACCAAAATAAGATAGTTTGTCAGTTATTCTGTGGTCCTGTTCTTTTGTCTTCCCTCATTTCGGGAGTTCCTTTGCAGGATCTGGTGACAAGGGTAGAATTACCCAGCAGTCTCCTGCTCTCTCTCTCTCTCTCTAAAAAATTAATTTTGATTATTTTCATGTTGCATCAGGAGCAGGTGTTCAGTGTTAAAACGTTAAAGAAGATAGATACCCAAATAATTAAAAATGGAAACTCCCTAGTTTCTTGACCTCAGCCATCTCAGAGGAACAGGTCTCCAGCTTCCCTCTGTATAAGGCCCCACTGCAAACTATTGTTGCTTCTCTGGCTATTCTTATAAATTCTCCATACTTTGTAGCCCTCCCTGCCATTTGAATTGCATGCTATTTTTTTCTTCATTACAAATTTTATAAATGAAGGAAGCAGATCCACAAAGTGGCAGGGTGGGGAGGAAGTGGGACTATGACAAACCTGGGTCTGACACCCAGTGTTGCGTCTCCTGGGGATTGTGGACAGGCTGGAGGGGGAGCGCCAACTCCCTCCAGATGTCCAGACCTCTCATCTTTTCCCACTTCTCTCTACCTCAGACCGTCCCGGGTGCCCTCCGGCTCTTTGTCAATGGAGAGGTAGGTAAGTGTCTGGCCAGACAGAGATCCCTCGGTGCCTGGGAGGTGCTCGGGGAGAGCTGTGAAGGGGCCACCCACCTGGTAGAGGCCTTGGGTTGTCAGCAGTACTAGGAAAACTCAAGTTTTCCTGTAATGAGTTTTTCCTGGAAACACAAAGAGTTCCTGGCCCTTGAGGGACTTGGCTTACTGACGTGTGTAGGCTTCAGGACTGGGTCTGGGTCTGGGTACTACAGATCATAGGAGGATATGCTGAAATAGTGTCCTGTTTTCTTAGTTTCAGCCCAAGGCTATGAATATGACAATCTCTACGTCCACTTCTTCGTGGAATTGCCAACTACTAGTAAGTGGTATTCACAAGTCTCTCTTTTTTATGCCCATTCTGAGAGCTTTCTGGAGACATTCACCTTCCTTCCCCACTGTTCTTTTTTAAAAAAACTATGACTGCTCTTTTCAAGGTCACAGGTCACTTCCATATTGTCAGATCCTGCGGAGATGTCTCTGTTTTCTCCCTGCTTGACCTCTCAGACCATTTGCTATGGCTCACCTTTCTGTGCTGAAACTCTTCTCTTGGCTTCTGGCCCCACAATCCTTTCTTCTCTCTTGGTGGCGGCTCCTCAGCCTCCTTGGCCGCTTCCTCATCTTCTGTCGGCCTTAAACTACCGGAGCACCCAAGGCCTGAGCCCTCTGTTTCTCTCTCTCCCCAGTCTCTCTCAGTGGCTCGTCCGTCCCATGGCTTGAATACTATTTATATGTCTCAGATCCCCAATTTCCGTCTCTAGCCGTGGCCTTTCCCTTGGACTATAGACTCATATCCAGTTGCCTCTTTGTCACTTCTGCCTACTGTGGCCAGATCTTGGCTCCTCCTCCTGCCTCAAACCTGCCCTCAGGGTCTTCACCATCCTAACGGAATGGTGCTGTCATTCACCTAGCTGCTGAGGCCAGAAACCTGCCAGATGTCCTTGATTCCTCACTTTCTCTAGCTCTTTACAGCCAGTCGTTCCATCCGCAATTCCTGTCAACTCTGTCTTCAAAACACGTCCTGAGTCATCTGTTCTCTTGAGCACCCCAGACCGAGCCACCATCTCTTGCCCAGGCCAATGTATTAAGTTTCTAACTCATCCTTTGCTTCCTCTCTTGCTCCTCCTTACTGTTCATTTGCCACATACACCATAGCCAAATTGAACCTTTGAAAATATAAACCAGTTGTTTATAAGTCTCTATTGAGCTTTAAACCCCAACAGCTTCCCCTTCCACTTAGAATAAAATCCAAATTCCAAACCCTGAACCAGCTGGTCCCTGTCTATCTCTTGCTTGCAACATTCCAGTCACACTGTCTGTTCCTGAATGCCAAGTTCATTCCCACCTTTTCAGGACCATTTCTTTTGGACCTGTACTTTTTCTGTTATGTCTCTGCTGAGCCTTCTTGAGTTTAGGTCTTAGCCTAAGTGTCGCTTCTGAGAAGTCTTCCCTCACTGTCCAATCTAAATGAGCCTTCACCCTGCTTTGCTTTTAATATAGCATTTGTCATTATCTCATAGCCTCTCGTCAGTTTGTTTGTTGTCTGTCTCCCCCACCAACACACACACTAGAACGTTAGCTCCATGAGAAACAGGGGTCTTTTCTACTTGCTCACCAAGATACCCAGATATGTGACTGGTCATAACACATAGTAGACAGTCAGTATATGTTAAATGAATGATTGATTGCATGAATAAGTGAATGAATGGATAAGAAGCTTGGCTTGTTTCTCAACTGCTTGCCTTGCTCCCATGTAAACTGATTATAAACCTAATGTGTGTGGTCTTTGGCTTTCAGACTGGTCAAGCCCAGCATTGCAGCAGCTTTCTGGAATAACACAGACCTGCACCACCAAATCCCTGGGAATGGTATGGGAAAGGAGAGTGGGTTCCTGGAAGGGAACAGGGCTGTGCTCCTGGGGCGGCACCTGAAGATTATCAGGTCAAGAGCCTGGGGAGGAGGCCAGAGTTGGGTCTGGCCCTTCTCTGTGGGCTCTGCAGGGCTACCTGGCACAGAGATCTTCTCTCTGTCTTTTTTAGAATGGTAGCAGTTTATATTTTGGGGTCCCTTTGCCTTTCAGCCTTTTATTTCCTACCCAGGGAGATAGTTTTTCCTTTTCCCTTATGAAGGTGACCTTGTCATTGGCCACAGGAAGACCAAATTCCAAGTGAGGCCTTGTCCCACCCCCTGCCATGACACAGAGGGTAAAATAATACTCCTCTTTTAGGATAAGGTAGGTTACTTCTCCTACCCATTCACGTTTGAGGCCTCCTTCCTCCATGAGGACGAATCTGCTGGTGAGTAGATCCTAGGCTGTGGGTCTCCTCAGGTGGTGGCCTCTGTGGTGCAGGCCTCCTGTGACCTGGCTGCTTTTCTGACCTGTCCCCAGATGCTCTCCTAGAGTGGCCGGTGCTCTACTGTGAGGTCCTCTCACTGGACTTCTGGCAGAGGTGTCGTGTGGAAGGCTATGGGGCTGTGGTGCTGCCCACCACCCCAGGTGACCTCCTGTCCCTGCCCTTCATGTGACCCACATGCCCTAGCTTAGGAACAAGACCAACACTTCTGGAAGATTGGATACTTCCAGTGAGACGTAGGAACAGAAAGGGATTGGAAGCACTTAACTTGCTTCCTTGCTCCTTTTGAGGAATTTTCTTCCTCCGGTAGAGACGACCAAGTGAAACCACAACGAGCCCTGTGAGGTGGAGCTGCCAGACATCTCTGGCATCTGCTCTGTGCTCCTCTGATTTGACTTGCAGCCTCAAGGGAGAAGCTGTGTGACAAAATGGGCTCTTGGCATATGAGTGTTGAATGAATTGTCTTTAGTTTTGAAGTAATAGCCACTGTCTTCTACTGTGCACCTGACATTGGGCTAAGTGCTTCTCATTTAATTCCCCCAACCACTCTGTGAGGTGGGGGTTTAATTATTTCCATTTTATTGATGAGAAGAATGGGGCTCAGCAAGGTTAAAAAGCTTGTCGTGTGTATGCAGTTAGTAGCTGGCAGAGCTGAGGTTTGAATTTCTGACTGATTTCCAAATGAGTGCCCTAAACCACCATGACAACCTTCACTAGAGGTCAGGTGATCACTGGACCAGGTCAGGTTGGCCAAGCTAGTGGTAGGGAGGCCTGTGTCATTGCTGGGGGTCAGTGGGGAGCCGCACGCCCTTTCCGGCTCTGGCCTCACTCTCCTCCTCCTGCATAGGCGCTCACACCCTGGCAGTCTCCACGTGGAGGCCCATGGAGCTCGGCACTGGGGCTGAGCTGAGGAGGTTTTTCATTGGCAGTTCTCTGGAACTCGAGGACCTCTCCTACGTGCGGATACCAGGAACCTTCAAGGTGGCTTCTGTCTCTGGGGAGATTTCATGTCTATCTCTTTTAGAGGAGGTGGGATCTGGGTGAAGGCCCCTTAATATTTCATTGCTTCATTATTACTTAGTCCTTTCCTTCCTGTGGCTTAAACTGGAAGTCACAGCCATATCTTGGGCCAGGTACAAATATCTACACTGCTATCCTAGGAGATCTCTGAAAATTTCCCAGGAGATTTCCCCTGGTCCCTGTCAGAATAACTGGCCCCTCCTTCCAGCCCAGCACTGAGGCCTCTGTAGTCAGAGGTGGGGGTGATTGGCAAGCAGTGTGTAAGACCACGTGTTCTCCAATGAGATTAGAATGCTCTCTGGTTTATAGTTGGAAGCCCAATGTTAGCCTTGAGGTGCTGGAATGAGGCTTCCCCAACCGAACTCTTCTCCCCAAGAACGGGAGTGAGGCCAGCATGGTGCCTGGGGCCTAGAACCCACAGAAGCCTGATGCTAACTGTATGCCACAGGGGGAGTGTCTGAGCCGCTTTGGGCTCCGCACGGAGACCACGGGGAGTGTCACCTTCCGCTTGCACTGTCTGCAGCAGTCCAGGTGAGTGACCCTGGCCCTCTGCCTTGGGCGCTTATAACTGAGGCGCTGGAGAGCAGCTGTGGCCACATGGCGGGCTTCTGTGTAGGGCCTTCATGGAGTCAAGTTCCCTCCGGAAAAGGATGCGGAGTGTGTTGGACCGTCTGGAAGGATTCAGCCAGCAGAGTTCCATTCACAATGTGCTGGGTATGTCCCCCTCCCTGAGCCAGTCCCCCAGGTCAGCACGAGCCATGCTCCTCCCCACACCACGGCAGCTGACTGCCGTTTTTGCTTCCCTCAGAGGCCTTCCGTCGAGCCCGGCGCCGCATGCAGGAGGCCCGAGAAAGCCTTCCCCAGGACCTGGTGAGCCCCTCGGGAACCATGGTCTCCTAGCTCGCTGCAGCCCTGGCCTCTGCATGAGGACAAGACTGGTGCTGTCTGAGTCCAGCGCCTTCCCGCCTCTTCTTTCTTACTGGAGACCACAGTGACCTGCTGAGAAGCCGAGGTCCTGTGGGACATGGAAGGATTTGGGGTTCCCTGGGCTGCTGCTGACGACTAGGAAGAAGAGCCAGCCTCTTCCAGGATCCCAGTGGACAGCATTTATGGCAATAAAGCAGGAGACCCTGTGGCCCCCATATGGCCCCCTCTTCATATTTCAGCTACCACTGCAAGTAGACAGTAGCTTCTTGGTTTAAAACCAGTTTGGTATAAGTCCATAGGTAGTTCTGCCCCAGACACAGCCTCACTCTCAGTAGGAGCAATCTGCAGGCACCTCCTGCTTCTTAACCTACCTTCTTTCAAGAAAGAAAAAGCAAGGTGAGAGGGATACTAAGTTCCCGGCCTGGGAGTCTCAACCTCCTCTTTCCTGGGTAACCTTGTCCTACTGCTTGGGGCTTGTTGCTTTTGAGATACAACTTGTCCCTAGAGTAAATGGAGACTGAAGAAGGTGCCCGGTCCTTTCTGAGAGCTGGGTGGTAGCTTTTATTGTGTTTTTGGTACATAAAAACTTTTTATACTGACTGACTTCCTGCTGGCTGTATTTCTGCTCAGGTGGCTGGCATGGCCAGAAATTCTCCTTAACCTTCCCTTTTTCTGTTTTTCTTCTTCGAAAATGTTTCTTTTGATTCCTTTAACTTGGCCTCCAGGAGAGCTGTGGCTTAGCAGCCCTTTTCTTAAACATCTGGAGCAAAGCATGGGCCCGCAGTCCTGCCCTCCCCAGCCCAACACGGAAACCAGCTCGGGCCTCAGCAATGCTTTATTGGCAGAAGCCAGTGGGCAGGCTCCAGAGGAGGAGTGTGGGGTGGCTAGGCTGGGACTCTGTGGCCTCCTAGTCATGGGCAGGGGTTGGAGACAGACTGGAAAACAGAAGAAAATGGCTGGAAACCTTCCTGGTGACTCTTCTTGCCTGGGCCTCATGACCTCTTGTCCTTGCGCCTGGAGCTATTGCGTGGTCCAATACCTAAGGTTCCCAAGGCTGAAGGGCTCCTTGCTGCCAGGCACGCCATTCATACGCGCAGCCACAGAGCCAGCTGTGAGCTATAGCCAGCAAAAGCAGCAGCATGATACAGTGATTTCAGAGGGAGAAGGTAGCCTTGTGGTCTTCCCCAGGTAGCCTGGTCTCCAAGGTTGGGGACTTGTGACGAACTCCTGCAGAAGCAGTGGAAATGGGCAAGTGAGCAACTTGCTGGGCATCCAGAAATGGAGCTGTTTTAGGGGGTTAATGGCTGACATGAGGCTAGTGGGCCACTTCTGATTGCCCCCAAAGCCCTAGGACCTGGGATTAATGATCAGCCCAGAAGCTAGCACACTGGGGTGCCTCCAGGGAAGAGTACCCTGTCCCCAGTGAGCAGTCCTGTTGTCTCTGCTTAGAGGCCTAAGACGAATCAGCCATCCTGTCAGGGAAGGATGCAAGGGCCTGACCCAGCTGAGGGCTGCTGGAGGAAGGCCTCCCCTTACCTACAGAAGAAGCTCAATTGCCTTTCCAGGCCGACAGGTTCAACTTGGGAATGTTTCTGCAGCTCACAAAGCCTCTGGGGTAAATGTTGGCCCTGAAGATGTCCCTCGAGACAGTTGTGATACCAGTATTGTCACACACAATTCGAGACAAAGAGATCTGGCTCAGGGCCCTCCGCTGTCTCTTGGTGAAAACACCCCGTTTCTGCCACCAGAACCTAGCAAGACAGTCAAGAGATGTGGGTACAGGTTGGGGAGGAATTCACATATAATGAGCACCAGGTACTTTACATACATTATTTCATTCAATTGTCCAAAATTCCTGCGAAATAGGTATTACTCCTGTTTTGTAAATGAGGAAACAGGGTCAGTGGTGAAGACAATTGCCCAATATTAAATGCATAGTAATTTAAATGGCCAGGGCTGGATTTGAACCCAGGTTCAAGTGCCAAATCCAAACAAGAAGTCAGGTATTAGAAGGAAACCAGATTTAGCCCTTTCTGCCCAGGTGTTCTGGAATCTGCCAGGCTGGAACAGCAAAGCTGACAAGCCTTACCTCCTGGGTTAAAGGTGCCTCCAGCTCAGGCAGTATCAGCCTTGCCTGGGGTGGTGGTCTCTCTTCCTCTGACCAAGCTCTCCAGGGAGGAGCTTCCTGGTCTCAGAAGAAGTGGAGCTAAAAAAAGCACTTTCCCCCACTGAAATGCTAGTGCTTTTCTGCCCTGCCTCTGAGGCTGGTCTCTTTAGGGTAGGGTTAATTACCTGTCTCCATTTCGGGCTCTTCTAAACTGGTTCTCAAAAAGACAAGCCAGAAGAGGCCCCACTCGGGCCTCTGGCAAAAGAGGCTCTGCAATGGCCCCAATCCAGATGTCGATGTTGTCTGGCGTCCCATACAGATTCAGGAACTTCCTTGCCAAATCCTGGTTTTGCAGCACCTGGCTAAGCTGTGTCAGATTCCGGGGCTGGGAGAGCCTGCAGAAGCGCCTCCAAGCATTGTACCCTGTAGGGAAAGGGAGCAGAGACAACTTCAGCCTTATCCCTGATGACTTCCCATTAGCTTCTGCTACCTTCCACAATCTATCCTGAGAGAGAGCTCTGTGGTTGGACAGTATGGGGCAGAACCGATCCCTGTTGGCAGAAGAGGTCCTGAGCCTTTTGCAGAGCAAACCGCAGTCCTAATTTTCAATGCAAGCAGACAACCATACTTTGTGTGCCTCAAACTGAGAAGTGTGTCCTGATATGAAAAGCAGTTGTGACCCAACCCTCACAGCCACATTGATATTGGGTGCATGTGTATTAATTAGGCACATGTGTGTTAGTTAGGCATAAATTAGACAGTACCCAGAACATAAACACTCTCAACCAGGTTTGTAGAATGAATGAGTGAATAATGCGTAAACAAACCAAGAAATGAACAGCAGGGATAACGTTTATCTGCTCAGAAAAGGGCCACTGCTATATGATTCCATTTATATGACAGGTCCAGAATAGGTGACTGTGCAGAGATAGAAAGTAGATTAGTGATTGTCAGGGGGTGGGTAGGAGTAGGGAGTGACTGTTATTATGAGGTTTATTTTACAAATGATGAAAATGTGCTGACATCAGATATAGTGACTGATGCACAACTCAACACACTAAAATTGTTGAATTATATACTTCATATGGGTGAAATTTATGACAACTTGATTATATCTCAATAAAGCTGTTTTTAAAAAAATTTCCACCCACTCAGAAACTTCCAAAGACTAGCGATACTGGTTTCTAGCTATCAGGACCTCACACCAGGACCAAGCCATGCAATGTGACAGAGGCCGTCAAGATAGGAGATAACTGCCATAACCAGAAGGGACACCAGCCGGCACCATTCACTGAACAACTCACAAACACCATCTCCCAGATGCACAAAGGAAAACCACATACTGTTTTCCTTATATGCACTGTTGTGTGATTATCTCTAAGGATCCTGATAACACCTTTGTGAGGCACTTTGTCATCTCCATTTTATCAGTGAATATTTGCTGAGCTTGAGCAACTGTGGCTTTTCCAAGGTCATTGCCCTATTAAGTTCAAGCCAGGTATTCCAATTCCAAATGTGGTGTTGCACTTGGGAAGGGATTAGAGAAGGCTGCAAGAGCTTGGTAATCAGGAAAATATTTCTGGGACAGCTTGGAGGGAACAGGTATGGATGGGGTGGGTACAGACTGTGTGGCAACTTGAGGGGCTGGCAACCTCAGTTCTCCAGCAGGGGGCGCCCACAGCTCTTTGGCTGTCAGGGGCACCAAGCACACAGGAGGGAAGAAACATTCTGGAGTGCCTGTTGGGTGCCTGCTGGGTGCTGTGTTAGGTGCAGTAGAAATCCTCCCCACTCATACATGGCCAAAGATTAGCTGAGGCAGTTGCGGCCTCAGGTTGAATTTAGACATGGAAGTGGGAAGTAGGGACAGGGAGACAGGAGCAAGGCATTGGCCAAAGCCTAACATTATGGACTGAACAGGCGGAAGAAAGGAAAAATCTCGAACTTGATTCAAATGTTAATACTTCCTAGTTATGTGGCCTTGGGCACATTACTAGATTTCTCTAAGCTTATTACCTTGTTTATAAAAATGGCTGTAATAGCTGTTTCTCAAGGTCACTGGAAAGACTAAATGAATCAAGATCCATAAAAGTTCCTAACAATGTGCCTAATTTTTCTTTCTTCCTGGGATAAAGTCTTTTTGTGTCCTCACCAAACAGCCACCCCAGTCTTAATTTTATTCTGCCTGTTCCCTGCCTTTCAGGATCTTTGCCTTTCCCCACTTAGAGCCAGGAGCCAGTCTCCATGTCCCTGGAAATTTAGCCTTCCTCCTTGGAAATTGCCTGGGTGGTGGGGAATGGAGAAGTTCTTCTCTGCTTTTTAAATCTACTGCTTATCTCTACTTGCAAACTCCTGATCTCCTTTGTTCAGCTCCTACGTCCAAATCCTGGTCTTGTTGTGACTCTAAAGCAGGAGACCCTAACAGTGAATGGAGAAAACATGTCCGGACAGGGAAAAGGTGGTCCCAGGGATGCTTTACTGCAACATCCCTGGCCTTGCATGCCTCGTGGACACATTCTGAAGACAGTCCTAGTCAGACAGGATGCACCAAGGGTAGTCTTGGAAGCTCTCCCCTCATCAGTCACTCCCCCCTGGGAGCAGCCCTGGTCCAAGCAAAGCCTTGGGAGGAGGGGTAGATGCCCCCTAACCTGGGAGGCCGTGGTCCCGGCTGCGTTGCATGTTGAGAGAGGCCAGGTCCAGCCCAATCCTTCTCACTTGCTTGAACAGCCGGTCCCGGAGCTCATCCACCACCATGGAATCTTGACGGTTCAGCTTGGCAGGGGTGGCCATGAGGCCTCGGAGAATGGGGTCGATGCCACCTGGTGGCGGGAAATATGAGCAGCACAAATTGGACCAGTGTCTGGGAAGCCCTTTGGGTCATCACATGACGCCAAACTAGCTCAAAGCTGGACAAGCCAGTAGCTTGTATTCTACAATGTTTGTATCAGGAAACAGAGGCCTGGGTGGACATGAAGGGAGCTGAAGCTGGCAGGGAAAAGAAGTCACTCCCACTTCTTAAAGAAGGAGGGGAAGGCAAGCTCTTTTCAGGTCCCTGAGCCACCAATCTGACATCAGTCTCTAAGGGACCCCTGTTAGAACCCCTCTAACCCTGAAGGGGATGGGAGGCCTGCGACTGAGGGTCTTGGTGGCACCTGCCTTGTTTTCACTATCCTGAGGAGCTGATTGGCAGTGGCCTGAGCAGCCCAGCCTCCTGGCACTATGCTTGCCCCACCTCCACACCCATCTGCTTCAGAAAACCTGGTCACCTTCATGCACGATTCGCCAGCTGGCAAAGAAACTGGAGCTAAGCGGGACTTGCGAGTTGGGTGCTGAGGCCCGGTACTGGCTGTCTAAGCGGAACATGAAGGGCTGGAGCATGGTGTGGCCAAAGCGAAAGGCCAGGGTGAAGACGTTAGCCACCCGGGGATCCACATTGGGGGAATACCCTGGGTAGGGCCCCAGGGTTTTCCTGGCCCGGTCCTTGCCCAGAACCAAGGGCAGAAAGTCTCGGTAGGTGATGATCTGCAAGAGAAAACACAGGAACATTACACCTCCTGCCTTGCCTTTGGGCAGGCCTTTTGCTTTTCGAAGGGATGCTCATATTAATTCCTTATTGTCAGCATGCCAAATGTGGTGGTGTTAATTTTCCACTGGCTGATGGAGATACTGAAGCCCAAAGAAGCTGGGTGGCATGGACAGGGTCACATGGCGAGTGAGTAGCAGAGTTGGGGCACGGGTCACATCTCAGTACCCCCCAGTCACCCAGACCCAGCTGATTGGAAGCCCATCACTGAGGATGTGTTGAGGGAAGGTGGGAGCACTCTCTCAGATGGGTTCTCATGCCAGATTGTCTTCTAGGGGCCACTGAGACCCAGGCTCCGTACCTGAACCATGGCCCCCACAATCTTGCGAGCCTCCTGATACAGCTTGTCTCCACCCCACTGGGGATTCAGGCGTCTCAGCTCCGTAGCCAGCCGGTTGTGCTCCCGCATAAAGAGGGTATGCAAGGCTGCCAGTTTCGGGGTTTCAGATGATCGAGAGTCACCTTGAAAAGTCCAAGTTCAGAGTCACCATAGTGCTTCCCAGAGAAACATCTTTCTGCAAAGGCAGGCAATGGTCTGGGGACCAGAAAGAGTTGGTGGGGCTTTGTGACCCGGGCCAAGCCCCTGGCCTGCACTGCTCCCCCCTCTCCTCAGCTGTGCTACAAGGCTCCTGACTGACTGCACCCTCCCCCCAACACAAAGGGTCAGGAAGGGCAGCATCGTGGGGTCTGGGATTCAAAAGTTACTGGGACAGGATCAGGCAAAGTGGGAAAGCATAGGGCATCTGCTGGTCTTGGGCAGGAAAATCCTTGCTGAAGATTTTACTGCGGGAGATGTCCAGATGCCCAGCTGGTGGGGGGACTCGGAGGACACAGTGAACCTTGACCCTGGTACTGAGCCCGCCTATTCCATGAACTGTATCCATCTCCATGTTACCTACTGAGGCCTGGACCTTTCCCTAGCTTTGGACTTGGTATCGTGCTACTCTTCCCAGGCAGCCAGGGAAAAGGGGAAGCCTGTTCCTGCAGCCAGACCTTCTCCTAAAGGCAGGGAAGGAAAGTAAATTTCTGAAGGTGGGCCTTACACACAGTCGTTTGCTGCATCTGAACTGGACCCTTTTGTTCAAGATCTTATTTAATCTATTGTTTGTTAGAACACCCAGGGCTAACCTGCCAGGAAGCAGGGGATGCGCACGGAGGGGTTGGTGAGGAGGCAGGGGTCTTCATGAATGTTGTCAAAGGGCAGCAGTGCCCGGCCATTGTCCTGGAAATTCTGGTTGACAGCCAGCAGCCCTAGGAAGTTAGTCCGGTTGCGGAGCCGCAGGGAGAGAGTGACCTCGCTACCATACACCATGCTGGCGTCCACAAAGGAGGTGAGCGCGTTGATCTGGTTTCGGACTCGGTTCCTGTTCTGGGGGCATGCGGGTGCTGAGCGGAAGAAAGGGATGCAGTCACTCTGGTTCTTGATGCGGGGGTCACGGGGCGGAATCTGAGGTGGAAGAAGAGCCAGTGACACCGGGGTCCCTCAAAAGATCACTCCCACCTGCTTCAAACCTTGCTCAAAACTCCCCTCTTCCAGGAAGCCCTCCTTGACTCACCCAGACGCACACTGCTCACCAGGTCAGCCCAAATGTCCTTAACTTTGTATCAAGAGTCATGAGAGGTTGGAAATAGATGAGGCCTTAGATCTTCATTTTAAAGATTGGGAAACTGAGGCTCAGGGAGAGGAAGTGATAACTAGTTAGCAGAAGAGGAGGGATTAGAACCTAGCTCTCCTGACATTTAGGCCTGTGCTCCTTTCAATCCACTCAATTCAACAGACATTTCCTGAGCGCCTTTCTGTGCTGGCCACTTTGGAGGCCATGAAGAACAGAGTGCAGGAACCGGCCTTCAGTGAGAACAGTCACACGTACAGAATGGTCCCTAAACCGAGGTGCCATTTATGTACTGCTGTGCTTCATCTAAAGGCCAAGAGCAAAAGGTACAATAGGAAGATAAGGGAAGGCTCCCCAGAAGAGGCGCCCCTGAACCGGGACTGGAGGAATGGATATAGCCGCAACAGGGAGTCATGCCCTTGATGTGGTCCCATGGCGCCCCATGCGTCACACCCCACTAATGTCTCCCTACATACTAAGGGTGAGTGTGTGCATGTGTATGCGTGTGTGCGCATATGTCCCCCCTAAATCCTCAGCAGAGGCTCTCCCCCTGGAGGCTGCCCTCTCTTCCCTAGAGCTCCACACCACCTCTGCCTCTCAGCCTGAAGGATAGCACCCTGCTCACAATCCAATCCGAGGAACAGGTGACAGTGGCAGGGCCCTTGGACCACCCCAGGGAAAAGAGAAGAGCAAGAGCTAAGAGAGCCAAAGCCTTCCAAAAGCAGCAGCCCGGAGACTTCCCTTCCTGGAATCAGACTCACGGGCCGAGGCCAGACAGCTGCTCCCCTCTCAGTGAAGCCCGAACTGAACTTCCCAGCAGACTGAGCCACCCCCGCCCCTCAGAAGCACACAGACCTCAGAGTCTATGCTCCCTGTGCGTCTTGTCTCTGTCTGGCACTCCAGCGTCACAGACAGCACCACAAGGGGGGCACTTTAGTCTTCCAGATGCCCACCCCCCGGCTCTTGTCCCTGGGTGGAGGCCCCCCCAGGGGCGTGGGAGAGCAGCTGAGGGCACCTTGATGGGGAAGCAGGGGGGCAGCTGGGCACAGGTCCTCTCGCAGTCAACGCCTGCAGTGAAGGTCACTCTGGCTGGGGACTCAGGGACGAAGTCCAAGTCATGGTCAATGAACTGACCCCATTGCATGAACATGAGGGCCCGGCCTCTGTCAGACGTCAGCCTCTCAGTGGGGAAACGCACGATCTGGTTGGAGACGGCCCGGACCTAGTGAGGAGGTAAGTCAGCATCAGGCATGACCCCAGGATGCTGGTAGAGGAGCCGATCCAGGACTTGGGCAGCAGGTCACCCCGGCTAGAGTTAACACAGTCTCTCTTCTCCTGTCCTCTGCATTCCTTTCTCACTTTGTCCCACCTCCTGTGTGACTCTCTTTCCTAGAAGAATGGTTTCTGGCCTGGCTCCCGAGGATCCCAGGAATAAAAAGCAGGGGAGGGGCCAGGCTGGCTGGCAGAGACCCTACCAGGTCTTTCAGAGATGTAAGTAGGCCAAATCAATAGATCGATTTATAGACTAATGGGTAAATACATGACAGAACTGATGGATAGATGCATGAACTGATTGCTAGGTGATGGATAATAAATATAGAGAGAATTTGGTAGAGAGATGGAAGGATCCATGGAAGAAAAAATAAATAGATATTAATGGGTAGATGATAGATTGTCATACTGGCATATGAATAGAGAGTTGATAAACTGATAAATGTGAAACTGTTTAGATCAAAGACGTAGCTAAATTAAGTTGTATAGCTCTTTATATTTAGCAAGAGACTTTGAGACTAATTCTTTCAGAAAGAAACAGTACTGTAATGGCTAGCACTAATATACCACACCCAGTGTGGATTTTTATAGCAAGGAGTTTTTTATTATTCCCACCAGCAATGAAATTGATTTTACTGCTGTCTTGCAGATAAGGAAACTGAGACTCAACTGTATTACTTGCCCAGTCACCCTGGCTGACTCTGGGCTGTGCTTTTATTCCCCATGTTTATTCCCCTTCAGACCCTTGGCCCAACTCACAAGAGGGAGCAGGAAGCCACTGCGCCTCTTGCCAGGAGTCCAGCCGAAGGGGAGTGACAGCCCGTCCTCGTACTCGGCTGGTAGCCAGCGAGCCAGGGCCTGGTTGGAGGCCCCGAGCAGGGGTCTGTGCCTGTGGTAGAGTGCGGGCTCAGATCAGCAGGGTTCCTGGCTGGAGACCACTCAGCGCATAGGGAGGCAGGAGTTGGGGGAAGGGAGGCACTCCTGGGTCAGGAGCAGCCCCTAGCACCCACTTGTTGTTGAATCTCCCTGTGATGGTGCGATACTTGTCACTGCACTGCTCAGCCTGGTCCTTGAGAACACAGCCACTGGCCTGGGACAGCAGCCGAAGCTGGGGTCTTGTTAGCACATCTGGTGGGTGTGGCAGGTGAGCGGTGTGCTGGGTCCAGGGTCCCAGCTCCTTCCTGAACTGTGTTCCGAACCTCCCATCCCTTTACTCTCTGCCATCCCAGCACCCCAAGGCCATGTGCCCTCCCTCCGCCTCCTGGCCTCCTTCCACTCCCAGGCAGGGCACTCCCAGGGAACCATGGGGAGCCCAGTACCAGTGACATTGAAGGGTCTGGATCCCTCAAGCTGTAACTTCTCCTCCAGCAGCCCCAAGGCCACGTGCAAATAATCTGCAGACTGAACAGCTGTCCTGGTGGCCGCTACTGGTTGTTTGAAGTAGGACAGGAGGTCCATGGGGCTGGCAGAGCCACTGCGAAGGCGCTGCTGGATGCTGCCCAGAAGAGGAGGAGTGGGGCTGGAGAGAGCGAGCGCCCCAGAGCAGCCCCGCCCGGGGGGTGGGCAGTCAGGGCGGTGTGAACAGACCGGAGGACCCAGGGAAGGGAGGCTATCCACATGGCACAGCCCCGGGAGGCAGGCAGGCCGATGGATGAGAAGGCCTTGGCTGGGGCCTATCCCCCCTCATCGGCCCCCCAGGCCCACGCAGGCCTACCTTCTCCGAGTCTGATTGTAGGCAGCATCCACCAGCAGCTTGGCCTCCTTTAGGCAGCCCTGAAGGACAGAGGTGTCCACTGCCCTGGAGGATGCTGTTCAGAGGGAAAGGGACTCAGGGCCCTGGGAGCCACAGGCCCCTCCAGACCTAAGCACTTCCCCCTCCCTTGCCCTCTCCCTTGACTGGCCAAGTGACTATTACCTGGGACAGTGCCCTCGCAGGGCCAGGCCAGGAGGAATGTGGCTAGGATGCCTGCCAGGGCCAGAAGCAGCTTCATCTCGGCGATGAGACCACCAGCCACGGTGGATGAGCAGTTGACACCCACGTCCTGTGTGCAGGCGGGCTCCCCTGCCCTCTTCTCACTCAGAGGGTGCCAAGCTGATGCCCTACCTCCTCCTGCTCTGCTCTGGAAGTCCCTGGGGAGGGACATTTATATCCACCCTGTGGGAGGGAGGGGAAGCCCAGCCTCTGGAGGTGGAGCTCTGAAAGCTCCCTCTTATTTTCAGGGGGGTCGTGAGACTGAAATCCCCCTCCCCGACGTGGGGCTATCCATCCCTCTCACCCCCTCCCCCCTTCCCCACCTCTTTGCTAGTGAGTTCACTGATTTCTTCCAGGGCTCAGAGCAGCGCCTGAAACACGGGCTCAATGAGGATTTCGTTTGTGGGCTGCCTGAGGAGCAGTGTGCTCTAGAAGAGGATCAGGCCTGGCTCTGCCCCTGACCAGGTGTATGGGCTTAGGCCAGTCACTTCCCCTTACTAGGCTCAGTATGCACATCCCTAAAACGGGCCTTGGACCAGATGATCGGAAAGGCTTCTTTCCTCCACCAACAGGGCAGACACGAGATCGCCCTTATTGTTGTATCTCCCCACATCCCCAGCACCAGGCCTGGCGTTTAGTAGGTGCTCAATAAATGCTTGTTGAGGGAATGAGTACTGTAGGGTCAATGATTTGGTCCCTCTATTTTATTCCCCATCCCTCCTAGCTCTCTCCAAGATGCTAGGAGAGGGTGAGGTGATGGCTGAGGCAGGGCCTAGCATGAAAATTAAGGGGATAACTCATGGGACATTTGGGGGCCACAGTGAGATGCCATGGGGGAGGCACCCAGCTGGACGAGGCAGCAGGCCTCCAAAGAAGCTGAGGGCCTCTCTTGGGCTTAGTACTTCTCCCCAGGTTTCTTCAGTACCTATCAGTAGTCAGCTTGTGCTGAGGAGCAGGTGAGATTCGAATTGCTCTTGGGCTGGGTTAGCAGGAGCCTCCTCAGGGGAAGCTTGCTGCAGTGGGCCCAGACCCACTTGGGTTTGGATGCAGCCCTGTCACTAGCTGTGTGACCTTGGCTGGGCCTCTGTCTCCACACCTCAAGGGCAGAACGCCCCTGCCAGACTTCCCGCCGAGCCCGAGCCCTCTCACGCACGCCCCCTTGCCCTTCCCCTGCAGGTCCCTCCACTGGCCCAGCCATGCCCAGCCCACTCCGACTCCACCCTGGTCCGCCTGGAGAGCACATGCTCCTCTCTCCCTGCTCAGCTCCACATCACGCCCGCCGTGTGTGGCAGCCTGCCTCTCCTCACCCCTTCTTCAGGTGGACATGTCCATCCCTTCCTCAGAACAGCCCCCAGAACTGCTCCAGCCCCCCAGCAGGCTGCTCCGAGGGTCCTGGCCTCCTGGCCTCTATCCCCCATGCCCTGCCTAAACCCAGCCCCAACACCCTCTACAGACCCTTCCTCCACACCAACGCCATCTGCTCTGGCAGTTGCTCTTGAAACAACCCCTTCGGCAATCTGTTTCACAAGCCCCATTTAAAAGCCCAGGCCCTGTTGGTTTTGCCCGTTATCTGCAGCAGGGGCCCCTCTCCTGCAACAAGGGGGCCTGGATGAAAAGTCACTGTAGTTGCTGAAAGCGCACTGAATTCCTTGTTGTGGACCCGCTGTGTGACTTGGGGTGAATCACACCGCTCCCTGGATCTCAGTTTCCAAACGTGTATAATGGGGAGAGTGAGCCTCATGAAGGAGAGAGATTCAAAACACTGTAGAGTGCTCCTCAATGTGCTTCACCTCCCCTGCCCGTGGGAAGCCGCACCTGGGTAGGGTGCATGTAACCCAGTTGCTCTCCTTGCAGGGGACCCCCCCACAAAGAGGACACAGAGTGGGTCTGCTCTCTCCAGAGAGAATTCTAATTCTTCAGCGGTAGTGAGCCGTGTGAGGATTTTGCCACAGTTGTGAGCTGCTGGGGGTTCTTAGGATGAGCTCCACACCAACCACTGGGCTTTAGACCCAGCCCTGCCATGCTGGCTAGTCTCTAGGGGTTTGGGCCCACTGCTCGAGGTGGTGACAAGAGGCAAGCAGATAGGAAAGGACCACCGTGGGGCCTGTACAACCAGCCTATGGAGGGCAGGTTCAGGGGGCACTGCCGGGCTGGACTGGCAGGCAGTTCAGTCAAGGAGGCTGAAGGAAAAGCTAAGCCTGCCTCCTGGTTCTCCTCCCCTTCAGCCTGCTTTCTGCCACCTCCCATGGCTCCAGCCACCTTGACCCTCCAAGGACAACACCCCCAGCCCCTGGCTGCTCCCAGGCCTCTGTGGCTGCTGCAGGGAGGCTCCCTCTGGGCATCACAGCCCTGAGCACCCAGGAGCTTGTTGGGAGAGTACAGGGAGGTGGCTGGGAACTGGCCTGGGTCCCAGACAGTCATCCACTGGGCAAGCTACTCAACCTCTGGGCCTGCCTCTTCACTGCCAAGTGGAGGTCATTACTGTGTTTACCTTCTGGAGTAGTCAAAATGCCAGCACAGTGCCTGGGGCACAGAAGGCACTCGGCAGTGTTGCTAAGCCTTGTTGTTCTGCCCATGGTTGGTTCCTTTATTGAGCTCACTCCAAGCTGTCCTCCTCATGTCTGAGGGGGAACGCCAGCTGCCAGGGTCAGGGCCACTGAGAAGTGAGTGAAGTGACAGAGATGGAGGGAGAGGTCCTCCAGGAGCCCTTGGGTTTGGGCACCTGCCCCCGTCCTGCTGTGACCTTCACCATGGGGCAGGCTCGACATGCGGGGTTCTTGCCAGGATTCACACGGGTCAGCTTGGACGTCTTCTCTTTTCTTTGGTCAGGGCCAAATACACCCAGGCACCAGAAGAGGGGTGTGGGCAGGCACCCCCCGTATCTCCCCTATGGGCTTTTCATGAGGCCCACTGGGACCTCCTGGAGGAGACTATAGACTTTCCTTGCGGTTTAGTGTTGCTCAGTGGCTACCTACAGTGTCTGACTCTCGGAATGGGTTATTTTGTGATACCCTGTTTTCAACACAACAGAATTATTTTCGGTGATACTCATTAAGTGAAACAAGTAACAACAATGGCTAGAAAGGAAATGTGTGAAAGTTCTCTTTTATTAAACTTCATACATGTGATCATGCCAGTAAAGAAATAAAACTAAATTGTAATATGAAAAGTAAAAGAGAAGTGGGTTAATACTTTTTAATTGCATGGATGTATCTTAAATAAAGAGAAGAAAGCTACCTGCATGTTGGTGGTTTTAATATAATAATGTATCATTACAGTTTCTATTTTCTGGATCCATTTTTGAGTTTTAAGATAATTAACAATTTTAGGAGTAGAATAAGTTTCCATGTTAAGATACCCAAATTCAGTAAAATGTTCATGTGTGAAGTAAAATTTGCACTCCAAAGACATATTTTGCAGTTGGCACTCTGCTTCAAATTTTAAACACAAATTTTAAGTCCAAACGGTCACGTGGAGTGACAGCATTGAAGGAGATCAGGTTCTGTCTGTTCATCTTTATAGTCACTATGTTATCACTTTTTATATCAAATCAACTGTTTAAACACAAGACCATGCAGTGCTACAGGGCATGAGAGGGCAAAGCCGGCTCACACAATTCCCAGCCGCTCGCGAACTTACCAAGGGAACGCATGTGACTTGGGGAGCCACCATTATATAACCGGAATTCTCCAAATTGACTTCCATGTAGAAAATGGGGCTTGTGAAAGGGTAAGTAACAAAAATGCATTCATTTGAAGCTTACACATATTATTAAAGCAGCACTGATTGCAGCAATTGTTTAGAATCTAGACCAAGAAAAGATGTCTTTGGGGCAGAGTGCTTTATCAGTGACATTGTTTAGAACTGTCGCCCCATGGCCAGCATAGGCAGCAGTCCATCCCTTCCTCTGTGTTATCAGTACTTTTAAATTCCCGATGGACCATGCAGCCTTATTTCTGCTCTGGGACAGCCAAGTCCTTTGCCCTGTCCTTGGTACTGGCTTCTGGCCCCTCTACTTGCCCTCACTAAATGACAAGCAGAAGGCTTTCAACTCCTTTCACACAGCCCCCGACTTGGAGTCCCTGGGGAGAGGGTGGAGGGGGAGCACTGGGCTCTTAGCCCCTGGGGGGCTGGTAAGGGGCTGCTCATGTGCTGTACTGGGGATGTGCCAGGCCTCTTCCAGGAGCCCAGTTGGCAGGGTCTATGGGGTCTATGCACAACGTCCCTGCAGCAGCAGCCCAGGGAACCCCCAAATCCTTCCGTGTTTTGAGGCCCCACAGGACCTCTCCAGCTCTGCTCATCCCTCCCCACCTGCCCATCACACTCCAACCCTGATCTGCCTCACCTCTGGGTCCTGGCACATGTTCCCTTTGCCTGACTAACTTCTGCTCATCTTCACCACCCGGCCGAGACGCCACTTCATTCAGGAGGCCTTCCCTCATCTGTCCCTTTCCTGTTTACCCCCAGCACCATCTGGGTCGGAGCCACAGAGCACCCTATGCGGATGTGTCTCTCAGCACATGTAAGGCCGTACTGAAGGTACCATGTCACTATGTCCATCTCCTGGACTGGCACTGAGCCTTTTGGGGACCCTAGGCCGGATCTTGTTTATGGCACCCTGTACTGGTCAGGCCCGTGGCTGGACCTCAGAGACTGGGGAACTGTGTGGAAGAGCTCTTCCTCTGAAAATGAAATGGGCAAATTAGAGTCCAAGACTGAGCCACATGGGGGGAAAAGATCTGTAACTGTAATGAGAGCCAACAAAAAGGTGCCTCAGGGTGACAGGAGACAAGACTGCTTGGTAATGGGAATGCGGGGGGCCAGAGAGAGGGCGGGCGCATCCTCCGGGACCGGGGTGTGGCCAGCGGGCCCCTCTGCTCTCCCTCCCTCCCCGAGGGGCCTCTCACCACCTGCCCCACAAGCTTGCCACCCCTTTGCTGGCTTGTCCTGGTCCTCCATGCAGCTGCCACTAGGAAAGGAGCCCCTAGACTCACAGTCTGGTTCCCGTCACCTCTCTCTCCAGAGCCCCATCTCCTCTCTCCAGTCCTCTGTCCTCTGAACCCACAGGCTTTCAGCCCCTCAAATAGGCCTACCCCCACTGCTCTGGGTCTCAACCATCAGAGCCCTTCTCCCTCTGTGCCCGGTGGCTCCCACTCACCCGACAGGCCCCATCCGCAGGGAGCTTCTGTCCCCATCCTGCTGGCTGTGACTCAGGTGACTGGTCTTCTATTGCTCTTACAGCTCCTTCATAGAACTTCACCTCATGGAAATTATACATGTGTTTCTGGGGTTGGATCTGATTAAGCCCCAGCCCCCTCAGGGCTGTCCTGAGGTCCGTACAGAAAAGGTATGTGCCTGTTCTGTGGCTTGCTGTAGCGCCTAACCCCATACCTCACAAAGCCCTCCTAGGTATTTGAAGAATGGATGCAGCTTCTGTGACCTTGCCTGTCATAGCTCTTGAGTTTGCACATGTATATGTATTTGAACCCAGTGCTTCTGGTCAGGGGTGTTTTTCTCCCTGGCCCAGGCCAGCCCTGGGTCAGTGGATGCTATTGCAAGCCTAGTCCTGTCAGGCTGAGGCCCAGACCCTGGACCATAAGAGGGCTTTCTCTCCCTGGCATCTTTCAGCCACAGTACCCAAGAAGCTTCCTTCCTGCCCCCACCAGCCATCGCAAAACCTCAAGATTTTGTAACCACTTTCACAAGAACCGTCCCCCTGCTATGGTGGAGCTACTGGCAACAAACCTGATTGGATCTCTTTATCTGCTCAGCACCAACGGCCAGCGTGGAGACAGCTGCCATGGAGCAGGGCTGGAGGTCTGGTAGGCCTGCTCCTGTTCCCAAGAGGTCCTGCAAATAGGGTCTGTGGGTTCTCATGACAAGAACACTGAGGCTTGCAGAGAGAAGGGGCTTGGCTCAAAGTACAGTGGCTCCACAGTGTGCTGGAGGCTGGGGCAGATGGGAGTGTGTTGCATGGAAATGCTTGGGCTCCAGAACTGAGGATGCTCCTGAGAAAGGCAACCCTGAGCATTCTTTTTTAAGCCAGGCTGGGAAATAACTCACTGTGAGGCCAGGGAGAGCATGTCTGGGAGCCCAGCTCCACCCAGCTCTATGACCTTGAGCAAGGGCTTGACCTGTCTGATCTGCTAGTAAAGTCCGCAATGAGCAGGAATGCTCAGGAGGCAGGAGTGGCCTCCGGTGGGCACTTGAGAGATGTGCAGGTCTGGGCTGGGGGTTGGGATTCAGCTGAGGGCAAGTACCCCTCCCTGTCCCTCCCTCCTGTCTTGGCCTTCTGTGAGCTGTACTTCACCTTCTCCATCAGACTGGGAACTCCCAGGGACAGCAGCTGGGGGTAGGGGGGCGGGGGGCTTGCAGGCAAGGCAGACCCTGCTTTAAATCAGCAACGTACGGAGGGAGAGGGAGGATGTGACCCCAGGGTACTGCCATCCACAGGCTGACCAAGGCCTGGTGGTGCCGCGCCAGCAGGAGGGCTGCAGTGGCTCAGGGTGAGGTACTGCCAGCCTGTGCCCTGTGCTTTACTGCTAGGGGTGCCAGGTCCTCGCGGTAACCCTGCGAGGCCGGTGCTGCTGCCAGGAACCTCAGCTTTATTGTTGAGGTACAGAGAAAATAATGAGTCACAGTCTCAGAGCCAGGAAGGGGATCTCAATCCATGTCTGACTCCAGAAGCCACTTCCTTCTCCCCCAGGCTTCTAAGGGCAGAGGTGTGACCTGATGGAAAGAAGCTTCTCCCATGCGGTGGGGAATGGGGGTGCCTTGGGCCTGGGCAGGCAAAGGCTGGCCTGGTGGCTCCTTGTGGGACTTGAGGGGAGTCTGGCAGGCAGCTCTGGCTGCTCCATTGTATCCCTGGGTGCCTTCCTGGGTGAGGCTGCAGAGGTGGCTGCCCCAGGGGGGAATGGAAGTCACTCTGGAGCAAGGGGGTGGGGAATAGATGGAGGGGGGTGCACAAAATGGGGCAGGGGCTGGAGTCCTAGCTCTCTTGGCCTACACATTGCGAATAACAATGCAAGAAAGGGCCCACACTGATCTATTTTTGCATTCCAGCATCTCAATACATCTAGAAAGAATAAATGCCTGAAGGTTGCAGGAATTTAGATATCCTGTTGAATGCAGTAGTCTTTTGCTTGGGCACTTAAAATTTAGAAGGTTCAAAACTGCAAACAATGACTTGAAAGACTGTGCAGATTTTACCCCCGACCCCAGCCGCCCCAGCTGCAGCCTCTGCAGCATCTCTGGCTGTGGTGGTGAGTGTGGGGGTGGTGAGCTTGGCGGTCCCAGCCCCTTGGCAGCCCTGGAAGGTGGCTGGAACCAGCACCCAATGCCAAGAGCAGAAAGCCCACTTGGGGGGACCTTTTGTGCTCGGTAAGGGCAGCTTTCTGTCCACTTGTCCACAAAATCATCTTGTGGTAGGTCATGGGAAAGGGTGCGGCCCCTCTCTGCTCTTCTCACTGCCCAGAAGGCATACCAGCCATGAATATGCCACTACTTGGTACTGCCTTTCGCCCCCAGAGCAGGTTGTCCTGGGTGTGCCCCCCATACGGGGGTCTGGCTAGGACAGGCCTTAGCCTTCTTTATGTTCGTCTGGACGGTGATGATGGTTCTGAAAGAAATCGGGCTTCATGGACTCAGATCCAGATTAGGCACAGGATTATTTCAGAAGGGAGGGAGTCAGGTGTTCCTTCAGTGTTCCTCCCTAACTCTGTCCAGTTACTGAAGGCTTATTGGGTTGGTGGGGACACTCCAGAACCATAAGGTCAGAGGTGTCTGTCTTCAAGTACTAATGTGCGTTTACAACATTATTTATTTGTTTATTCATCCAACAGATATTTATGGAGAGCCTCCACATTCCTGGCCTGTGCTGGGCAGCAGGGCTCTGGTGGTAATCAAAAAGGCGCCAAGCAGAAGAGAAACAAGAAGCAAGCACTCCTGCAGGTCTCAGGGAAGAAAAAGCCCAGTTAAATCCTCAAACAATTGCAAAAGGGTCCTCCTATACCCTCCAGTGTTAGAAGACTTGTAACAGCTAGTTAGTGTAGGAACTTGAACCTGAATCCAGGTCTCTTTGTTCCAAGTCAAGTTCTTAATCCACTCCACCAAGTCTGACCTCTGAAACCCATCCTATGCAAATGAAAAACAAAGCCAAAGAGACGTGACCTACCCATTATCACTCCTTGTACAAACCAGCCAGCGCCTCCTAAGCCTCTTCACTGCGGCCTGCATCTCCTGGTTCCTCAGGGTGTAGATCATGGGGTTGAGCATGGGGGTCATGACTGTGTGGCTGATGGACACGGCCTTGTCCATGGAGAAGGGGTCAAAGGGCCGGGCATAGAGGTAAATGCTGGGAATGAACACCATTGACATCACAATGATGTGGGTGGTGCAGGTGGAAGCTGCCTTCCTCCTCGCCTGCCCCGAGTGGGACCTCAGCATCACCAGGATGACCGAGTAAGAGGTGAGGAGGAGACAGAACCAGATGACATCCAGCATCCCACTGTTGGAGATCATGAGGAACTCTAAGATGTAAGTGTCCGTGCAGGCAAGTCTCAGCACCTGGGGGACATCACAGTAGAAGTTATCCAGGACGTTGGGGCCGCAGAAAGGCAGTGGGAGCATCAGAGCCACTTGGCTGATGGAATGGACGAAACCTACCATCCAGGCCATCAGCACCAGCGCCACACAGAGCCGAGTGTTCATGATGGTGACATAGCGGAGGGGCCGGGAGATGGCCACAAGGCGGTCATAGGCCATCACTGACAGGAAGAAGACCATGGCACCTCCCAGAAAGTGGAAGAAGAAGATCTGGGCCATGCAGCCCCGGTAGGAGATGGTCTTCTCCTCAGAGAGGAGGTCCACCAGCAACTTTGGGGCAGTGACCGAGGAGAAGCAGAGGTCCAAGAGAGCCAGGTTTCTCAGCAGAAAGTACATGGGCGTGTGGAGCCGAGAGTCTGCGGTCACTGTGAGCATGATGAGGAGGTTTCCCAAGACAGTGGCGGTGTAGACAGACAGGAACACCAGGAACAGGAGGAGCTGGAGCTCCCAAGTCTGTGAAAGCCCCAGGAAGACGAATTCTGATACCCACGTGAGGTTTCCTGGTTCCATGTGGCTTCTCCATACACCTAGAGAAGAAGAGCCACAGACATACATGCATGAAGTCACTTTTAGTGGTCATCGGCTCAGACTGAGTTGTCCGGACCCAGATGATGGATATCCTCATGGGCAGATCATAATACCAGGTGCTGATTAATTGGCCTTGTCTCTGGAGCTCTTAAAAATTAGTACTGGACTATGCATTCATGAGCTATCTTGAAGCCATCTAGAGACACGCAACTTGGTTTTTAAAGAATCAGTGTAATGTAGTGGTGGGAAGACACTTGGAGTCCTACACACCTGAAGTTAAATTTCAGAGGTTCTATTTCCTTGAGATTTGACCTTGAGTAAATTAATTAATCTTTCTGAGTTTCAGTTTTCACATCTGTAAAGTGGGAATAAAAATATATCTGTATAGGAATGTTTAGGAGATTAAATACAGTAACAAAGTTCCTGGAACAGTACTTGGAAATAGATGATAGTCATTTTGCTCTGTGTAGTCTTCTGCTTAAAGACATCCTCCTTTCTTCCAGTCTCTGATACAATTTTCTACCAGTCACTTTCATGCAACATTTAACACCTCATAATGTTAATGGGCTTTTCATATGTCTATATTTTTCTTCCATAATTCAACTGAAAGCTCACAGAGGCAGGGACACAGATTTTATAGCGGATCCGTGCCCTGCAGTGACCATCCTTCCTGATAGTTAACACTCACAAAGCTTGTGGCAGTGGCTTCCAGGTGGGTGAATGTCCCTCACCTTGCCGATGTAGGGGGCTCCTTACTGGGTGAGGCCAGGAAATATATGATATATGTGCTGAGACGAGAAGTGGAAGAGAGATTCTCTGAATTAAGAAATAGATGATGAATATTGTATGAAGAGGCCTCAGGGCGCTCTTCTGAAAGAAGCAAGATATTACTGAGCACAAGAGTAGGAGACAGAGGAAGGTGTTGAAATAAGAGAAATAGAAATAGACAAAGGAAAAAAGAATAGAAATTAAGAGGAAGGGAGCAAGTGAAGGAAGGGGAAATGGGAAGGTGGTGGGGAGGGAGTGGCACCAGAAGTGGAGAAGGAGTTGGAGGGTGAGAGACGGGATAATGTGGTCAGGGGTTAACGGCCCCCCACGCCCCTGCCCCCTCTCCATCTCCCACCCTCTCTCACCTGCCTGCTGCATCCTGTTACCTATCACAGGTCATTTTAACCTCATCCTTCTACTTCCATTAGCTTCAAATGAGATCTTGCTAAACTCCTGTTTGATTATGTTTCTTCCTCATTATAATCTTTTAATGACTGTCTAGTGCCCACTACTTAAAACTCAAACTCTTAAAAGCCCCTAACATGCTTTGTGGATTAATCCAGCATTGAAAAACATACTTACCTATGTGTGTGCAACTCCCTCTCAGCATGTCATACAAAACTACAAAATGTAGCCTCCCTTCACCTCCCTAATCACTATCTCTGTGACCCAGGAACCGACTGCTATTCAAGAAATTCATAGCTTCTCATACATGCCAAACGCTGGACTATTTCCACAGCTTTGGTAATTAATTCTGTTTTCTGAAAATCCTTCTACTACCTTCTCAGCCTACATGGACATCACCTTCTCTGCAACTCCTTCCCATGCAGAATGAATCCCTCATTGCTCTGGGTTCCAATAACATTTTATGAATACCTCCATGATAACATTTATCAGTTTTTCAGTTGTCCCTCTTTAACTAGGTTGTGATCAGTAACTTAGTAGCTCCAGGACCTACAGCAGCAGTTCTGATTTAGCAGTTGCTCCTGTTTGCCAACTTAATGGGTTAGCAGGTAGTTATATGATCTTGTTTTATGCGACTACATGGAGAATACTGTGGCGTCTTTCCTTCTCCTTTGCACCCAGCATCCTCCCGCTGAAACACAGGGCCGATTCTTCACTTGGTTGTTAAGAGCCCGAGTTTTCACATGCAACCTGATGCATCTGTTCTCGACATCATATTCCCCTGATTACTTTCTGAGGCTTTCTTCACACTTTAGACTTACTGCAACCAAGCCTGCTTCACTTGTTTATTCTCCCCACATTGCAGCAAGTGTTTCTGGATCCTTCTTACTGATGATCCAGCCACAGGTAAGAAAACCCTGGTCTCTCGCCTTCCTTCAACCCAGAATGGGAGAGAGGCCTCAGGTCTTACATCTTCTTGGAGATGCTTTTCCTGCAGCTTCAGTTTCCCAGTAGTTGTCCCTATGTCACGTATTCAACAGAGAGGGAGTACCCTAGGGGAAAAACTGTAGGACTGGGCTCAGGAGCTGGCCTGAGTTCCACTGAGGGCAAGGGAGCAATGGGAGTTGTTAAAAGTTGCTGAATGCATAAAAAATACATCCTCTTTGAGAGGTCTTCCTTGGGGGCCCAAAGTACCACGGGCCATGAAAACTTTTGAGATTTGTGGAATGTAGGATTCTCAGGCCAAGTTCCGAAAGGACAAGAGTCTTCAAAAGAAACAGACTCTGGGAATTTTAGAAGAACTCATTTTTTAGGCCAGTGATTCTTGAAAGAATCACCTGGGGAGCTTAGGAAAAGACAGGTAAGGGTGCCCCAGTCCCAGACTGTCTCATTCAGTTGGTCAATGGTAAGGCCAAGAATTTGCATCTGTGATAAGTTCTCAGATCATGTTGGTGCTCCAATTGAGAATCACTGCCTGCTCTCTCTTGTGGAATTCCTGAGATAACTGGTTTGATTTCCATCTTCTTCTCCTCCTTCTCTTTCTCCTTTCCTTCTCCTTTTAAGCTTAATTGCTCTTTACATAGGGTAGGTCATAGGTGGAAATATCTGTATACTACCCTGGAAACATATTACCCTGTAAACTTTGTCCTTTATTTTGCAACCAGACCCCCAAAGTTGATTCTCCACCCATATCCAAAGCTACTCACATCACCTATAGAATGCTAGCATTCTTTACATGTGAATCATTACTACCTTTAATATAGAGATTGGTACGAAACCCATTTATTCTCTCACAATGAGGAAATGAGCAAAACTGGAATTAACTGGCATTGTAACCTTGATGTACTATAAAAAATGTCTGATTTTTTAGAGCTGTCTGATCTACTTAGGATTTCCAGGTTGGGCTGAATTCTTTTTTTTTTTTTTTTGGTATCATTAATCTACAATTACATGAAGAACATTATGTTTATTAGGCTCCACCCTTCACCAAGTCCCACCCACATACCCCTTCACAGTCACTATACATGCTAATCATAGTGCCCTCTTTCTTTTTCCCCACCCTTATCCCTCCCTTCCCACCCATCCTCCCCAGTCCCTTTCCCTTAGGTAACTGTTAGTCCGTTCTTGGGTTCTGTGATTTTGCTTCTGTTTGTTCCTTCAGTTTTTCTTTGTTCTTATACTCCATATCAGTGAAATCATTTGGTACTTGTCTTTCTCCGCCTGGCTTATTTCACTGAGCATATGTTGCGAATGGTAGGATCTGATTTTTTCTTATGGCTGAGTAATATTCAATTGTGTATATGTACCACATCTTCTTTATCCATTCACTTACAGATGGACATTTAGGTTGCTTCCATATCTTGGCTATTGTAAATAGTGCAGCGATAAACATAGGGGTGCATCTGTCTTTTTCAAACTGGAGTGCTGCATTCTTAGGGTAAATTCCTAGAAGTGGAATTCCTGGGTCAAATGGTATTTCTATTTTGAGCATTTTGAGGAACCTCCATACTGCTTTCCACAATGGTTGAACTAATTTACATTCCCACCAGCAGTGTAGGAGGGTCCCCCTTTCTCCACAACCTCGCCAACATTTGTTGTTGTTTGTCTTTTGGATGGTGGTGATCCTTACTGGTGTGAGGTGATATCTCATTGTGATTTTAATTTGCATTTCTCTGATGACAAGCGATGTGGAGCATCTTTTCATGTGTCTGTTGGCCATCTGAATTTTTTCTTTGGAGAACTGTCTATTCAGCTTCTCTGCCCATTTTTTAATTGGATTATTTCCTTTTTGTTTGTTGAGGTGTGTGAGCTCTTTATATATTTTGGATGTCAACCCTTTATCGGATCTGTCATTTATGAATATATTCTCCCATACTGTAGGATACCTTTTTGTTCTATTGATGGTGTCCTTTGCTGTACAGAAGCTTTTCAGCTTGATACAGTCCCATGGGCTGAATTCTTTCATTGCAAATGTACATACTTGGCAAAATTAATATCTGCCTCCAGCAGATAGGAATGCAATGTGAAGCTTTTCCAAATACAAGAGATGCAGATTAAACAAAAACCCCACTAATTCTTATTTAGAGCATTAGTCCACTTTAAAATTAAGTCACTTGGAAAAGTAACCTGGATTGATTCTGGGGAAGGGGAGAGGACTTGTCAATGTCATAGACTATCATATAGGTGATTTTGAGCTCTGAGTATGACTTAGCTTTCAATAAGAGTAACCCCTATGTTCCAGTTTATATATTTCCTCTGTCAAGGCACAGGTGTGTCTGCAACATGTCCACCAAACCTCATTTATTCGCTGCCTCTACTGGCCAAAATAACGATTTCTAAAGACCAGAATGACAGGAATGGAGTAATTATGCTAAAGACCCAGTCATAGAAAACCGAACTGAGAAAATGATTTTCCTATGTACCAACCTAAGAAAGTAAATATTTGTCAGACTTAACTATTGTTACTTCAAACTGTTAAATGGATTCACAGTACATGCAGAAGAAACTTCATTTACATTCTCCCTGAGGGAGGCCAGCATCACTGAATAATTCTCCCTTGTGATGGTCAGTTTTATGTGTCAACTTGACTAGTCTATAGTTCCCAGTTATTCAACCAAACACTAATATAGGTGTTGCTGTGAAGGTATATATTATTGTATAGATGTGACTGATGTTTATAATGAGTTGATTTTATGTAAAGGAGATTATCCTAGATAATCTGCATGTGGCTGAGTCAATAAGTTAAAAACCTTGAGAGCAGAACTGAGGTTTCCTTGAAGAAGGTGAAATTCTGGAATGCAGCTTCAGCTCATGC